CTGGTCACATCTTTCCTCAGCATCAGCCAAAGCATCAGCTTCCTGGTGGCAAAATGCCATTTTTAGGGGTATGTTTTTTGAGGGAATATCAACATGCTTAGCTTTACAGTTTAGAGTCCTGGATAGCAACTTTTTTTGTTAAATTTTGGTTATATCCCAACAGAATGAAAAATAATATCGAATTGATTCTATATTGTTGTTTTTGAAACAGCCAGTTTTGAAAGCTAAAACAAAATAAATTTTTTTCAACCTAGATGAAGGCCAAAGTATTATCAAATTTTTGCGAGGTATAGAATCCATCTTATCCCATAATATCAAAGAGTAGAACAAAGTAAATAAGTATGGGTTTAATCACAGGAATATCTCCCACATTCTTGAAGTGCCAAGTGATAAAAATATACATATAAATTCCAAAGTCACAGTTACGCTCACATCATTCACATTTCTCTTTTCACCCTACTGTCTTTCTGAATCAATGGTTTCTGATTCATCATGGCCTAAAAATATCCAGCGTTTAGGAGTTTTGGGTTTTCCCTGTGAGACCCTCATAAGCTAAAAAGAAAAGTAGTTGCTGGAAAATTTGTCTCCAGGCTGGTTTTTTGCAAGAGATGTCCTCTGGTATTTGTTATATTTTGTCTCAAGTTTCATTCTAGCAGAAATATATGAAGGAAAAAATATAAATTTAGCAGTGAGTGGTTTTTTTCATCTTTTTACCATTCAAAGGTCTTTAAAAAGCAGGGAAATGTAAATTTTCTTATTTGTCATACATGCTGCAGGGTATCCCTTTGAGGATACCGTCTTTTCTATTCAGTGCATGATTTAATTTAGAAACCACAGCATTATAACACTACAGATGTACCACATAGTTTTATTTAGCGTTTCTGATTGATTTAGGAGGACTAGTCAGAATATTCTCTTTCCTCTCAGCTAGTTTAGTATTACAACATAGTAATGTTTGTAACAGCTAAGCCACCACCTACACCAGAAAAAATAAGGTATCTTGTTTATTGAAGAATAAAGGAAGGAAAGAAAAGTCCTCCTGTGCTAAGAATTCCTAATCATGTGTGTATGAGGACAGGCATACTCAGTTTTGGAGAGGTACAAAAAAATTATTAGAAGAACAAACATTATACTAACAAAAATAAAGCTTCTTGATTGTTCTGATGCAGTTTAACTGAATGCAAATGATAGAGACCTCAGCATACACCATAGAAAAGTCTCACCCATGTAATATTTTGAATATAGCCTCCTGACAGTCCTTATCAAAGCTAGTTACATTTTTAAGAGCACCACACACAATGAAACACAATTGAATTTAACTAAATTTTAGTTTCTATATGTCTTTTAAAAATGTAAATATCAGCCTGATAGTCACAGTTCAGTTAGGGTGACATGCACTGGTAGTACTCACAGCCTGCACTTGAAGCTGCAGGTCATTTTTCTCCTGCACCAGTTTCACCATTTTCTCCTCCAGCTCCTTCCTCTTTGCCTCAGACTTTGCAAGCTCTTCCTTGGTTTTCTCAAACTCTTGTTTCATGTTGGCCATCTCCTTCTCAGATTCTGCACTCTTCAGCAAGGGCTTGATTTTGAAGAACAGCTTCATCCAGGGCCAGTGCTTCACGTTCATGAATGCACGAATGTTGTACTGGATGCAGAAAATGGACTCTCTGAAAGGTAAGTCATAGCAATTTTAAATATTTAGACCATAATGACACATAAGCCAGATACAGTGAACCTTATTTGAAGAAACGTCTACCTCCTCTCCACCATTCTCTGGTACTCCACTCTCATCAGGAAGCCCCTGCACCTGGCCTGTGTGCGGGTGATGAGCTGCGCCAGCTTCTCATCCCTCATCTCTTCCAAGAGTCCTACCAGCCCAGCTTTGAAGAACACCTTAGGTAAGAACATGAAAATAGATGCAGTGTATATGCTTGTTGTTCAGTGTAGACCGGTACTTTGTCTCCCGTGGCAGATAATAGGGGAAGTTAAGAGAAAAAGCAAAAGCATGAAGAATATATGTAGTGATAAACCCTCTTTTATATCTCCAAGCTTCCAGTTGCCTGCAGTTGAGGAACTATAATAGCCAGACATTTTGCCCTTGTTTCTATTAACCCTTGATTCTTTTATCCTACAACTTTGTCTTAAATTAGGAACCCTTCTTTATCCCTTAATTAAATCATCCTATGAATTTCAGCTTTATTCAAGTGTTGAATCAATAGGTACTTAGCTGTTTTCTTTTAAATACACTATTTGATCATTTCACATGCTATCTGGAGAATCTGAGTGCCATTCTCAAGCCATGCAAACCAAAACCACATAGTACTTGAAACAAACAGTTCTTGTACCTTAGTGTGACCGAATTTGTATTGAGTGTGGTCTATATCAATGGATCCAAGAAGTTTCTCACAAGCCTTCTTGCTGTCAATGAACTGTCCTTCTGGGATAGCACTTGCATTTAATACTTTGTATCTGGGGGAGAAATTGGAAGGACTTGCATTGGACTCAATGATCTTCAGGGTCTTTTCCAACCTAAATGATTCTACGAATATAAAGAGGTCTGTTGTTGAGGCCAATTGGCTGGTACACTGCAAGAAGGAGTCTAAGAACTGTTGGGAACAAAACAGTGCTGCTAAACAAAAACTTTGGAGAAAGTTTTAGTCATCAGAGGTGAAACTTAAATTTCACAGGCTACTCAAGATGGACCAAATGATCCAGTAAGGGGAAGAAGTCTGACCTCTGTTTAAAATCTGCATACAGGACTCTGTTGGGAAATCCTTTCCTGCAAATTCTGATCCCTTCCAGCACACCGTTACACCGCAGCTGGTGAAGCACCAGTTCATGCTCCATAGCACCTAGCAATTCAGAGCACAAACATATGCCATCGTCTGTAAAACAGAGGGGAAGAGCTGCATCATGTTGAAAGTCTTCTATATGTGAGTTTCTTACCAGGTGTTTTTGTTTCATTTGGGATGATACAGCGTACAAAATGGGGGTGGGTGCTTCGCAGATTGGTCATCAGCTTGTTTAAATTCTCCTGGGAGAGTCATTTAAAGAAGCTTATATTAGTAAACATAATTTCACTATAAGCATCAAGCCCTCTGAAATGAGATAATGAGATACCAGCCAAAAATTAGCTTGCAGAATCCTGAACTGAAGACCCTGCATCAGTTCTCTGACTTTCCACAGATCTTTGCTGTTATTAACTTAATGTATAAAGTTCTTCTGATTAATCTGTAGGAAATATCATACTCATAAACATATGAGTTTAATACATTTCACTGACTCTAGTGGAATGCCTTCATTAGAAATTATGTCCATATTCCATTGGATGTTCCAAGAGTGATAAACTGGTATCCCTGTGAGGCAGTTTGAAGCAGTCTATAGTATGCATTTCAGATGGGTCACATGGAGAACACTACATAGACCCTTCCTGTTTTCCTGACTGAAAGCAAAAGGAACAAAAATGACAAGCTGAGTTTTTATGTCTAGATTACATGTTTATCTTGTAAGGTAAGATGAGAATATGATGAGATGAATCCCAGCCTTGTTTTGTAATTAACATCTGTATATTTATTTATAAATATTTACTGCCTATAATTAGTGAAGGGAAGCAGGTGCCTCCAGAGGACATCTCAGAGTATGCAAATTAAGCAGCCAAAACTTTAAGATGTCTAAACACTAACATGTCTAAACAAAAGGGATACTGGAAGAAAGTGTGAAAACATAACAGAAATGCAACTCAAACGCAGCAAATAATATTTCTCCTGTAACATTACCTCTTAAGCTTTTATGACCTTTAAACACAGGCTTATTGCATTTTTTTTTAGTTATGCGTGCCGGCAATAATTTCCTGCTTACAAGGCCAAGGCACCACAGCTATGATTATTTTTATTGTGACATATACACACACATGCCCATGTCCTGTTTCAGACACTGGCTAGAGGCTGTCAGGTGATCAAGAGTCATATGACAGCAGATCTGCAGAAGAAATTAGGCTATATCAAGAAAGGACTCCTAAATGAAGGATGAATATGGTAGTAAATAACCTCAGGAGAGACTAGGAATTTCACTTGGTAGAAGCATATGGAGCAGCCAGGCAGCAAGACTTGGTTACGACAAAGAACTGTCAAGTATCCGAGACCTTAAAAATCCATAACCCAAGGAGTGGTGGTATTTCAACTATAAGAGGTTGATCCCTGAATCAGGGAGAAAAAATAGAGATATAAACGGAGCAAACAGGTCATCCTCCAGACCAGTGGGCAGAATGTTGTTAAAGGGCAGTAAAAGGTTTCGAAACCAGAAGTGGGCAGCTGAAGGAAGTCTGGTCTATTTCAGGTACATTTTAGAAGTCTTCTATATGACATTCTTCCATCTGGAAATGTCATCATGGGACAAGTGGACAGAAAGAAAAGTTGAGCATTCAGTGGAACAGAGCGTAAGTAGATTACAATGGATTAATTCCTAGCAAGACATGGCCCAAGAACTTCAGGATCTTTTAACAAAACTAAGCCAGAAAAAGATTAGCCATTTTAAATGGGGGGTTTACTCCTCATCTTAGGAAGAAATAGTGAACTCTCTACTGTACCCGGAAAAGAGCTGAGACCGTCTGGAAGGAAGAACCCTTCTTCTTGCCACCTTTCTTGCCAGCACTAGCCTCTGCAAAATTGGAAATAAATAAAAAAGGGTTTAGATTTTTGCTTTTGACTTTTATGATTCCTTTTTGTAAGCTATATATCAGTGAAAATATGGGATTCATAAAACCAACCTGCTTCTGCTCCACCATAGTTGGCAAAGAGTAAGGCCAACGTTTTCAGTGATGATTTCTGGTACAACCCAATGACAGTTTCATTCAGGGGGTCTTTGTTCTTCTCAAGCCAGCCAGTGATGTTGTAGTCCACCGTGCCAGCATAGTGTATTAGGGAGAAGTGAGCCTCAACCTTCCCCTTGGTAGGCTTGGGCTTCTGGAAGTTGCTGGACTTGCCCAGGTGCTGGTCATAGAGCTTGTTTTTGAAAGAGGTGTCAGTTGCCTTGGGGAACATGCACTCCTCTTCCAGGATGGAGAAGATGCCCATGGGCTGGAAGAAATGCACAAGGGAGACAGATGGTAATTTAGTTTTCAGGGCAATAATGACCTTCACACCTAGGCAGAGTAGTGGAACACAGACTGAGATACACATTAGAAAAGATTATTTTTCAATCATATTTTCTTCTAGAAAGTGAGATTAAACGTATTCATACCTATGGTTTTTAACACCAAATTAATCATAAAGATTAATGAAAATTCATTTTGTTTGTGTTGAGAATGTGCTTTATAAAATCAGAGCACCATCTTCTTATCCAGAGGGACTCAAAGCACACACAGATGTCTTAGACAAATTGAACATGAGCAGACAACCCATCCTGGCCTGCATTAAGAGTGTTGCCAGCAGCTCTCCTCTACTCAGCTCTGCTGAGAAACATCTGAAGTGTTGTGTCCAGTTCTCGGCTCCCCAGTACAGGACAAACATGGACATAGTAGGGTGAGCCTTTTGACAGGCCACGAAGGTATTTAAATGACTGAAACATCTGACATACAAGGAGAAGCTGAGAGAGATGGGACTTTCAGCCTGGAAAAGAGAAGTCTCTGGGGGATCTTATCAATGTGTATAAATACCTAACGGGAGGAGATAGAGAAGATAGAGCTCGAGGCTTCTCAGTGGTGTCCAGTGACAGGACAAAATGGAATAGGCATGAATTAAAATATGTGAAATTCCATTTAAACAAAAGAAAAAGCTTCTTCTGATGCCCCAGAGTATCTATGGAGTCTCCATCCTTGGGGATATTCAAAATCCTACTGGACATGGTCCTGAGCATCCTGCTCTAGCTGACCCTGCCTCGAACAAGGGGGTTGGACTAAGTGATCTCCAGAGCTGCCTTCAAACCTCAGCAGTTCTGTAATTCTGTGATTCTAACTACTTATCATCCGTCCAGCCACTGAACTCTTCATTTCCTATGCAGTGCAACTCCCTTCTTACTGTCAGTCAAACGACGCACATGTAAGTTTGACTGTGTGCTGACAGTTATGTATGACCATCTTCTGTGTATATTTTACAAAAATGTATCTATTCTGCTGTACAAACACAGGTCTACTAGAGCTGAAAGGTGAGGAGGACATGCTGACCTGGAAACTGACTCTAGCTATTTTGGAAGAACACTCTTATTGGGAGTTTAACAATCTTTTGGCACTTGAAAAGAGATCAGTACAGTCTTGCTGCCACAAAGCTGTGAGAAATCTCTTTCATGTCTCACTTGACAGAAAAAATAAACTACAGGACACAGTATTTTGAGTAACAAAAGCTGAATATTCGGACATGAACAGAGAAGATCCCTTTGAAAACTGAGACCAAGTAATTATAGAATTTCCACACATGTAATGCATTTGAACAGGAAGGATACCTTCTCAATGAGCTCAATGCAGGCAGCCAGGTCCATCCCAAAGTCAATGAACGTCCATTCAATTCCTTCCTTCTTGTGCTCCTCCTGCTCCAGCACGAACATGTGGTGGTTGAAGAACTGTTGCAGTTTCTCATTGGTGAAGTTGATGCAGAGCTGCTCAAAGCTGTTAAACTGGAAATAAAATGAGAAAGAACCACATTTGCAAGATGCATCAATACTTGCACAACCTCATCCTTTATAAAAAAGGAATGCAGTTGTCTTGGCTCCATTGTCAAGTCTGTGCGTTTCTTTAGTCTGCTTTATATCTCCACAACAAAACAGAGAATGTGTCAAATTAATTGTCCACAAGGCATTTTTTTTCCACTGACAAAAATGCAAAGATAAATTGTATTTCCCATATAATCTGAGACCAAATTACAGGGAATAAAAAAGCAAGCTTAGGCCTATCATAATATACATGTTTTTATACTGTCTTGTCCTTGATCATTTAAACCAAGGAATTCTTCTGATTGGACCATTCTGTACTTCCGAGTTCACACATCTTGAAATAAGACAAGTCCTTTGAAAGGTCTTTTTTTTTACTTCATGACAAAAAAAGGCAAATAGCTGCAAAAAATTACGTGAAGATATTATGTCTTGTTTAAAAATATGCCTCACAGTTATCGTAACATCCAGTTGTCACTTCCAAATAGCTCTTACCAAATCTTTGTCACTTACATCAAAGATCTCAAAGCCAGCAATGTCCAGCACACCAATGAAGTACTGTCTCGGTTGCTTGGTATCCAGCTGTTGGTTGATGCGAACAACCATCCACAAGAACATCCTCTCATAGACAGCCTTGGCAAGAGCACCTACAGCATTGTGCACCTATAAGAAAAATAAATTCCTGGAGTTACCATACAGAGGAGAGGAGAATCAAAAGGGTTGTCATTCAAAACATGGTTCCAGGTTACCATGTGTTTGTTACCTGCTGCGCGGTTTGACCCTTGGTCACATATTCATTCCCAACCTTGACTCGGGGGTAGCACAGGGCCTTGAGCATGTCAGCTGAATTCAGGCCCATAAGGTAGGCAGCTTTGTCAGCAACTAAAAAGACAGAGGAAAACAGAAGAATTTGGTGTCATATAGACTTCAAATCCTGGAGTATTCTCTAAAGGCTGCAGAGGTCAGATATCTTTTCTTCAAAATCTTTTGGTAGTGTCATAGAACGAATCTTCATAACATCAGAGTCATCATTATGCATTTTGAGCTTTTCTAAAAGAGTGAATGTCTGAAAAATCTTCACTGAAGCATGTAGGAAGTGATATTTCCAAAAATCTCCTGGCACAAAATTGAAAGCTGCAGCTTGCCAGTCTGAATATTTGAAGTACTTGCATATCTCAGGAGCTGCAGTGACCACAATCAGGTACTGATCTATGTTCAGGTAATCAAAACCATCTGATATTTAGGGTGGGACACAGAGAGGATATCTCTGTTCTCTTTCAGATCCAGAGTCTACAACCCTTTCTGACCTTTGGTTTCCGATGTTCAATAAAGCCCACTGCATTTCATCCTTTTACCTCTGGTATTTCTGACCTCCTGCCTTGTCCTTTAGCAGGATGAGCCATTGCTCAGAGAGCTGGAGATCTGGGCTGTAGGTCCTGCATCAATAAAGGAGAGGAATCAAATACACCTCTCACACAAAAGTTCCTAACCCTAACCTAACTCCTTCTCATCTGACAGGTGAGGGTGAACAGGAATGTGGACCCCCAACCTGTTAGAGCTGAACCACTTGGCTCTTTCACAATTGCAAGCCATATTCCAACAAAAGTATGCCTAATAAAGGAATTACATCCATGGCTCCTGACTACCTGGAAGTGTATAAAGGACAGTTTAAACAATTAATTGTTCCTAGCATAAAATACAAAAATCCTGAGATCAGGGAACTTGGCGTACTGAGAAGAGGAGAAGGAACATGGTTTTTTTCTGGCTTACTGTTTTCTTTGGGATCCCAAAGTCCAACAAAGAAAAACTTTTGCTGTCTTCCACATCCATAGTGACTTACAGAAGGGTTAATTTTTGAGTTTGGTAATACCTTCTGTGCCATCTGGCTCTGCCTGCTCCTCTCTTGGTTTCTGCTTAAACTTCAGGTTCCCGTAGTGCATGACAGCCCCTGTCAGCTTGTAGATGGCTGTCTTCTCATCAGCAGTGAAGCCCAGGATGTCAATGGCACTCTGGCAATACAATCAGCAAAGTGAAATATTTGCATGTCATGTGATGTATGAGCTGGGCCTGTTGACCCGTTTGTTAAGTGACTTACATCTGTAGCCATCAGCTCCTCCTTGTCATCAATGCTGGGAACGGTGATCTCACCTTGACTCACAAAAGGGTAGTCATATGGGTTGGTGGTGATGAGGAGCATTTCTGAAAACAAATGGGTTCATGGGTTAAATTTCATTCTTTTTGTAATGTAAATATTGTCAGTGATCTTCCTCCAAAAAGCTCAGTGATGAATCCTACCAATTAGCTCTGGCTTCTTGTTGGAGGTGACCTGATAAAATATGTGGTAGCTTCTTTCCGCCTTGAGCTGGAAAGTGACTCTGGACTTCTCCAGCAGATCTGGCAAGGACAGTGGGACAGAGTTAGCACAAGAGCTGGGGAGGGTTACAAGGAATGTGATCAGGCCAGGAGAGTCTGGCAAGGAAAGTAGAAACAGGCACAGGAAGGCACATGGAGGTGTAAATTTGGGAAGGAATGGGACCAGGCCAGGGGAGCGCCTTACAAGTTTCAATGTCAGCAGAAGCCAGTTTGCCTGTGGCCCCAAAGTGGATTCTGATGAATTTGCCCTGTTAAGGAGAAGAACAACCACTTCAGCCTATATGCATTTAATTGCCATCTCCTGATATGAGAATACCACTAGCCCATCGCTACCGTTATAACGAGGAGGGATTTTGTCTGAAGCAGCAACTTACAAAACGTGAGGAGTTGTCATTCCTCACAGTCTTGGCGTTGCCGAAGGCCTCCAGCAGTGGGTTGGCGCTGATGATTTGATCCTCAAGCGTTCCCTGGAGGACAACAATTATTGCTGGTTATAGTTTCCAAAAATCATGTCAGGATCAGAGGAAAGCATTGATTCCAGACACTACCTATTCATTTACCTGCATTTTGCCTGCCTGCTCCTCCTTCTTCTTCTCCCCGCTTGCTGCAATTGTTGCAAAGTACTGGATGACACGCTTTGTGTTCACAGTCTTCCCTGCACCGGATTCTCCGCTGTCAAACCAACAAGAGAAGCAGAGAGTGTGTGGTCAGGCAGGAGGTCCCCTGGCACCGGGCAGCCCTGCAGGGACCCGAGCAGGGGGTGTACATACGTGATCAGGATTGACTGGTTCTCGCGATCTGTGAACAAGGAAGAATGAAAGACAGTGTCAGAAGCTGACCCGGGTAACATTAAGCTGAACGAGAAGTAAAGCTGCAAACAGAAGTTGGGCCTTCTTCAGGAAGTCCAAGAGTTCCCAATTCCCTTCCATGTCCCAACAGTAATAAGTATAAGCCCAAATGGATGCATAGAGTTGTCAGAGGCAGGCGGTCCTGAGACAAACCGTGCATCCACTTCCCCTTCACACAGTTCTCATCAAGAAATATAATCAGACTGCCTACCTGTGTTCAAAATAGTGGATTATATAGAATAATAACCTTTTCTTTCCTATCAGTGAAAAAAAGTGGCAATCTGAGTTAAGTATTTTTTCTGCAGTGGGAGAGTGTAGAATTCAGTACAATAAAGTGCAAATAATACACAGTGCTGAGTCC